AATAGGTCAGTGACTATCCCCGGGGAGGCTGCTTCTACAGGGCAGCTGAGTGTTGCTGCAGGTGCCATGGGATGCTTGAAGGTAAGAAAGGAAACCCAGTTCTGTAGGCTTTTTGAATGTAGAACCATAGACTATTACAACTGTAACAGGTTCCATGAATGGACTGGTGAGACCTCGGAGCTGGGTCTGTGTGGAGCCACCTGGGCCAGGTGCTCTTGCTGGTCCCTGTGGCTTCCTGCTGCTGGGGAGCCTGGGCTGGTGAGGGACATGGATGTGAGGACAGTGCACCAACCACATCTTGCTTTTGTTCCCATCCCTTTTCTAAGAGAAACTAAGAGTTAGATCAGGTGTCCTCAAACTACAGCCCGCAGGCCACATTTATCCGGCCTGCCGGGTATTTTTGCCACCACTGCCTGTCCTGCTTAGCAGCCGACTCGTCCCAGGGCCTGCAGTCCGGCCCTCCAATGGTCTGAGAGACAGTGAACTGGCCCTCTGTTTAAAAAGTTTGAGGACCCCTGATAGATGATGTGTAACTAGTTCCTGCTTTTCTTCAGAAAATATCTCAGTGGCTTACTGGGTCACGTAGAAATGCATTGAGTCTGAGACTGTTGACTGTGGTCAGAAGTAGTTGTGTTTGCTCAGACAGAGCAGTGCTTTGCAGAGTTCTGAATTTATTGTGGCTTTCACCAGCAGTTTATTTAGTGGTTGACCAAGCCTGCAGGACGAGACAGTCTGTGGTCACACTGTGCGATAGTTGCTGTTCTTTCTCATTTTAATTCTGTCCACTTTATCTGTTCGTTCTGTAGTATTGAGTATATCATTGTTTTGGCCACAAGGGACCCAGTGACAGCCAAAGCAGACATGGTCCCTGCTCTCATGGAATCTGTGGTCTGTCGGGGCTGGTTGACAGTAAAATAATCTCAGTGACCACATGTTCACAACCTGAAGTAAGGGCTATGAGGAAAAGGGAAAAAATTCTACAGCACATAAAACAGAGGACCCAGTCCTGTGCTTTCTGTGGAAAAGGTGCTCATGCTGAGAGCTGGAGAGGGACCAAAGGAATAGCCAAGAGAGATGGGAGCTGGACCACAAGGCAGAGAGGGGGCGAGGGGTAAATCCTGGATTCTGGATCGTGCGCAGGTGGGCTGGGCGCCATGTGCAGAGAGGACAGCGGGTGGGCTGGGAGGTTAGGACCTTGGAGGCAGCAGCAGTGAGCAGTCAGACAGGCCTTGTGGTCACACTGATCACAGGGGCTGGAAATCACTGCAGGGTTACAATGCATGTGTCACTGGTAGTGGCTCTTTACTGCAGTCTATGTGAGCAGATTATTAACAGAGACATGGCATATTCTGAAATCTGTTAGAGTTCTCTCTCTAATGAAAAATGCCAAATTACTTTCCTCATCTATAGCAAAAGCTAATTCTTAGTAAATACGGACTTAAGTGTTTTTGTTATATCTTCTAATCTATCCCAGTGGTTTTCTAACACTTGTGTCAATCTTTATACACAGTATTAAATTATTCTTCTGTAGGGGTGTTCTATTGGATTTGAAGCATGTTAATAACATGTTAATATAATAATAGGCTTTAAAAACTGTTTTTTTCCCTAGATTTGATGTTGAATTTGTTCTCTCAGCACCTACTTCTGAATGGACTGGCAAGCAGGGACACATTTCACCAGCTCTTCTTTCTGAATTTTTGAAAAGAAATTTAGATGAATCCAAAGTCTTCATCTGCATTTGTGGGCCAACACCATTTACAGAGCAGGGAGTGAGGTGAGCAGGGGTGTGGTGGGAGACAGGGCAGGGAGTGAGGCGAGCAGGGG